CCATTTGGACAGCAATGGATATGATCAGAACAGCACACTGCATTTGGTAAAGGACAACATCCATATTGTCCAGAAGACAGAATGCAACATGTACTACCATCAGGACATTCTGATGTTCCATCTGGACAAATTACACCCTTCAAGGGTTTTGATTGCAATTTCTTCACCATGGGAACTATTGACAAACCTTTATTGCACGTTCCACCACTTGTGTCACACGTATAACCATTTGGACAGCAATGGATATGATCAGAACAGCACACCGCCTTTGGTAAAGGACAACATCCATATTGTCCAGAAGACAGTCTGCAGCAAGTACTTCCATCAGGACATTCTGATTGTCCATCTGGGCAAAGCACACCATTAAAACTCTGTTTGTAAGATAACAGTTATATCATTTTGTATTTTATACTAATTTTTTTTTCCATAAATATAGACTGCTTCAAATATTTTCAGTTACCACAGTTCAGGCAATGGTGTATGCTATCCTTTTTTCCATTGATTACTAAATATATAAATCATATTTGACATCTTAATTTTTGAATATAGCATCGAATTAGCTATTACCCTTGTAATACCATACATGAATTGTCACAAGATCAAATGATTGGTCAAAACATGTGAGTTGCTGTGGATTGCAAGCTGTCATGTCTTAGTAGGAGACTAGGTACAAGTTTGCAAAAATTGTCATGTGGCCTATAATAATAATCTCAAACTACAGCAAATCAAAATTGAGTCAAAAAAGCTTCAAAAATTACAGCCATTCAAAAACTCTCTTTTTCTCATACATAAATCTAAAGTACATTTTCCCCACGATAAACACATTTCTTAAATTTCTACACTGTAGTATTTTTGAACCCCTTTATGTTCTTCAATATTCATCCAAATGACACCAAACTTTGAAAGTGTTTTAATTTTGATGTTTTAAAACATATGATTGGGTAGCTTCCTCTGGTTTCCAGTTACTGCACTTGGTACTAATTACAATCAAGGATTGGCTTGATAGCTCATGAATAATTAATGATATGAGAAACAGGAAAGACAGATATCAGCACTCTCTTATAAAAGACATGGCTTGCTTTCCATGTGGGATAAATAATTATTCAAAATTTTCTCTGTTTTAGTAAATTGCTGAGCAGTTACACTCTGTTTGTTTTTTTTTTTCGTCTTTTATCTCACTGTAATTCATGTTAATTAGTGTCGGCATTCATAAGTCATTTACAGCATTCGTATCCTTGTTGTAAACTATATACTTACTAACAGAAATTATTACTTTTACTATAATCATAGAAATTATCATGCAATAACGTTAAGTAAAAAAATGTACAAACCTTTGGTCTTGCTGAAACTTTTAAGGACATCAAAATTCTTTCTTTGCCTCTATAGCATGTTTGTGAGGTTGGATCACAAGAAAAACCATTGGGACAACAATGAGTTTTGTCACTACAACAGGTTGCATTGGGTAGTGGACAACATCCATACTTGTTGTTGCTCATTAAGCAACATGTACTACTATCTGGACATTCAGTTTCAGCATCAGGACATATAACTGATGAGTAACTTGTCATTACTGAGCACAGTAACGTCAGTGCAACGATGAATGACATCTATAACATGAAGAAACAAAGAATATTTTAGATCCATGCATCTAAAATTAATTTTTTTTCAACATTTTGTATATGATTCAGGCACAGTGTAGAAAATGCAAAGTGTGTTGATTTTTTTTTTTTTGCATGACCTCTGGATATCCAATTACATGACCTCTCCGATCTGATCATATTCACTCTAGACATTACATTACCACATCTGTCGTTTATGTACGCTTTTAGATCAAATCTACTTAAATTCAATGGGTTTAACATATTTTTGATCAAATGTGCCATATATGTATAGTCTCTAAACCAACAACTGACAAGAAATAGACCTTGATTTCTAATAATACATCATATGCTTCATGAGCAATTTGACTTTTAGCAGTATGACAGCATTTTGAAAAAATTCAGGAAAACCCTCTTTGACGCTCAAATCATTGAGTGATTTGTACATCAAAGAAARTTTTCCAGCCATATTTTCAGCGAAAAATTACCCATAATGCACCCATATATAGAAATTGTTAAAATGTACCTGGAATTTTTGCAAAATACTAAATCTAAAGCTAAATGTTATATCAAATTAGATGCTCAAAGTTTGGTCAGTGGTATAGTTCCAGAAATAATCAATAAAGATATATTCCATCCCATGGAAACACCCAGGTGAGTTCATTAGTCCTGTAGGGGCATGTCAGCAATATCAGGGCACACGTTCATGGTATATTAGAGTTCCTAGTTATTCAAAGATGTAACATTTGGTGACTAGAGGTTATGAGGTACTATTAATTAAAAAGAAGAGCTAAGAACAAAAAGGTATAATAGATAGAGTAAATCTGTAATATTTAATATAAGATTCCTGGGATGTCATTTAAAACTAGTCATATTCACTGGATACATTTCCTGTATTTTTCTCTTTTAATTTCTGGATTATAATTTTTATAACTCCAGCTTACAAATGAAGCAATTTTGCCCTATACATTCTGTCGATTGACAATTTCAGTGAATTCCACTACCGCAAAGCATCAAGTTCTGCATTTATCAGCGTCGATATTAATGACTTGATTCTACTTGTAAACTGAATTTACTTTCTTTAAATAAAGGTCTATAATAATTAACAATACTTTTCGGTTCTGGAATAAACTATCCCGTACAGAATACAGAATCCTAACTCCAACTGAACTGCATAATATGAAATAAATTAACCAACTTCTTATAGAATAAACGCAGTAAGCCTAACTTAGACGAACATGCACATGGAAATCCGTCGATAACAAATCAATCAAATAACACATTAACATCTACAAACGAATTCTTTATATAATTATAGTATACGGAAAGGATTATTATTTCGAATGGACGCACGGATATACTGATCAAGCCAGGCAGGAAGATTCAAGTTTTAAGCTTTATACTGCTCGATGGATGTTTGGAAAATAACAGATTTCATTGAAAATCCATTATAACTAGTTTACATTACGGTCAGTACTCACCGTTGGTTTAATTTGCTAAACCAAGGCCGTGAACTTCACTTTCCTTTCTAAAATATACAAGTTAGAAAGTGAGCCGAAACTGTCACGCAGCTTCTGACACTTGTGACAATCTCGTGATTTTTTATATATTCAAACACAGGGTTCCCACGCAAGGGTTAGTGTCGTATATACATTGTCATTTTTTTTTACTTTTGGGAGTTTAGATTACATGCTATGACGTCATAGTGAACTTCTTTGTTAGAAAATTCGGGGAAATTGGCACTTTGAGCTTCTGACAGTAATCTCGTGATTCAGTCTTGACTTTCAACCACAGGTAGCCCAATTGGAAGAAAATTATAGTCAAATTTCTCCCTCCACCTCCCTATTTTTCAAATTGCTTGGTGAACGTAAATATAGCGTGTGTGTTGTGATGTTTATCAAAGTTCGACAATAAGGACTGGATAGGACTTGGACTTTGAACGATTTCTAAGAATTAGAGTAATTAGGTCGGAGGGAAAAAAAAGGGGGAATTGATTGCGTCTTCATTCAGATTTCAGCTCTTTTTGAATGCTAGGATTTTTTCCACTGTATTGGTTCTTACAGTGTTTCTATAAATATTTCAACAAGATATTTAAAAACGTACTTTCCTGAGTTGCCGGGATTTCACTGTCTATCAAGTGACCCGGCTTATTTTCATCTTCCGCCGCCCCACCATGATCCCGGCGGTCTCTGCTTGTCTGACCACTGGATTGTATCATTGCCTCTTACATTATTTACTTTAATGTATATAGTTCTGATGCATATATATCGTATCAGTGATCAGTGCAGTGACCATGTGTATCGATGATTGCTCATCTACATTTTGATGTGATATGCAGTCACTTTGATCCCCTCTACTGAGCGACGATAATTCTTAGCGTTAAAACAATAGAATGTTTTGGTGTGACAGTTGTATAAAAAAGATAAATTTAACACCGTAAAAAAAGTATGAGAAATAACTTACTGACGTTTGGGACGTTAATCCTTCGTCGGAGTAAAGAGATGGAACTAGGTATAGAGTGTTAGTTTATATAGTAAGAGTAACAAAGAGAATAGAGCAATAGGAGCAAAGTAGGCATGGTAACGAGAAATAAACAAATGAAATGAAATAGGGCAATTGTCAAAGTGTGGAGATTGATTGTCACGATTACATTATAGGCCATTATAACCACCTTAAGTATTCACAACAGAAACCATAACTACAAACGAAACAATGACTATATAATAAAATACTTTATTAATGATAATAATATCTGTAATCTGCTATCAATATTTAGGGTCGCTAAGGACAAGAGGCCTTATTTCTATAGATTGTAGAGCATCTWTTTCATGCCRTGTCACGCGTAAAAGTACCTAATCCATCCAGTCTTGAATGTCTTCATTAATTTCTGCTTGACTTCTAATTCAATCCAATAAGGAGTTTTAAAAAATTCATATTTTTGTACAGTTATTGCAATTTCTGGTGTTAATTCTTGGAGTCTGGTGTCAACAAACATTTTTGTGCCGCAAGGAGTTCGTTCTGTACAAGTCGCGTCATGATGGTATCGATTCTCCAATAAATCTTTTTAGTTTCTGATAAACAGCCGACAGAATGGCATCTGCTTGTCGACCACTGCTATTACTCGCACTGTGGAAGARAAAGAAAAGCAAAATCAATTCCAACTGGTTTCTACCTCTTAGAGCCTTTTACAAGAGAGAATCTGGGTAGCACTACGTTTAAACTCATGGGTTTTGCGGATCTCATGGGCTGCGCAGTCGAGATGCGCCTTATAACGTAACAGAATGAGTGTCATTTAATCCCATTTGAGTCCCAATTWMATTTGATTATATCACAATGTCTGTTTCCATATTTTTGAACCTTAACAATTGCCTAGTGACCCTAATCATCCCTCCCCCTTCCATGGTTCCTCCCTTGCGCAGACATTGTGCTAATACAGAACATTCGTGTGCGTAAAGAGAGACCTTACAGCCCGTATTAGAACGGTTTCTGAACAAAAACGTATTTTGCATTAAAGCAAAAAACGTCCTATCACGACTACCAACTTGAAATACCTGAGTACAGATTTTTTCTTCATAAAAAACAGTATCAAAATCAGTGTTTACAAGACATTYGTTTCTTTACCACAAAATTTGAATWAMMRSCSSMAWWMMARGKTWAAAWWGARCAAATCTCTTACATCAAAGCCAGTTCAGATTCAGCGAATTCAAACCAGGCCCAGTCCTTCCGTCTAGTCGCTCGACTCATATTGATGAGGAATGTAAGATGCTGGGGAGAGACAAGCCCTCGAGACTCGTTGTCGTCTGTTTCTGAATTGCAGTTRTTATTGCCATCTTTGGGAGTCAGTCGTTCCATTAGAAACACCCCTTGTTGTTCAAACCTGAAATACAATTTAGAATAGTGCAGTGAGTTAGTCGTTTCCGTTAGTTGTTCAAACTTGCCATGCAATACATGCTAACGTCCGCCATCTTGGAAAGTGAGAACCGAATCACTATGTTGTGCCTTAGAACACCTTTCGTAGTTGCTAAGTCAACTAATCTATCATTATATCGTATTATATTAACTTGGCATTAGCTTGGAACCTTTTAATTTATAATTTATAATTTAGTGATTCGAGTCCCACTTTTCAAGATGGCGGACGGATTGTTCTCCAGAACTCTTGATGAATTTTAGTCAATATCACAAAGCATCACTGTTTTTCTACTCACCGCAAACATCGCATTAAGTCACGACAAGCAAGTGCTCTTATAAAAGCATTRTAGAAGAAGTTCACTGCTCCYTGATAGTCTCCAGCTTGACAAGACATCCAGTGAGCGTCCACTAAACTGTCAACTACATTAATAAAATTAAAAACTAAATTAAGTTTCATATGAATAATAAAKCGGACTTTCAACCCGTGAAAATGGTTTTCAACACATCACAGTACGTGTTAATTATTTTGTTTTATCATATAATTATCTATCGAATACCTATATTTCTCAATTTCCTAAAGTTATTATTTCCACTAGTTTATATAGTTGTTATTTTCAAATGTTTATATTTATTATATGATAAACAGAATACTACATGCATGGTCGCTTGGAGATACGAATTTTATCTTCTAGTGTTGAAAACCTCTTTAAACATTCGAAGATAAAGTCCGTATATACGCCCGCCCATAAAATCTCCTCTATTTCTTGTATACAACGAACAATATCTTAGAAGAAATATTACACTTACCGGCACAGCTTGTTTCTTGTAAAGCACTGTACACTAGAGATAAACGATAAAACGCCTGCGAAGCATCCCGCCATTTTTGTTCGCGTCCTCCCGCCATCGCACACACAGAATACAAAACTACAGACCAAGAGTTGCCTTTATGTACACTACAGAACCTAAAAACAAGTTGAACTATTCGSTAAACATAGTTACGGTAACGTGACGTACATTTTTTTAAATATTATTTTGATACAATTTTTGCACATGTCTCAACAGCGAAAACCGAGCTTTTTCGACAATTCGGCCATTCTTGGCTAAAATGCAAGCAAGGGGCGTGGTGGCACACAGTTAAAATCGTTGCTTTTTTTTATTTTTTTCTTCCGTTGCCCCTCTCTGCTACAGCACTTTCATCACGTGAATTTCACTTGCTTCACTGCCAGGCGAAGTTCTGTGACCATGCCGTGTCCAGTCAGTGCTGTGATCCAATCCACGAGTTATATTGAACTTACCCCGCTGTTTCACTCAGAAGACTTGTCATCGAAGTGTATCGCTCTTCAATGTCGGTACTAAATGCACAAAATAAAAAGAGCAATGAATAAGTCTTTCACTAATGCAGGGACAGATCCAGGGTTTTCTTGAGAGGAGTGTAGGATACTCAGTCAGGAGGGGATGTACCCCAGTGTTCATTCTCTGMACCCACCTGAATCCGTCCYTGAATATAACTATKYATRTGGGCATGAACCCTGTGTTACAACTCGCRAATTTTCGCACTTGATAAGGTTTTCTTAGTCTCTTTTGATGTACAATCATAGTTGCACAATACAGTTTTCTTTTTTTAAATATTAYATACCAACAAACTCCTTTGGTCGTGGATTAAACATTTTCACAAATRAACCTTTTTTGAAATATGCGTATTTTAAAAGCGAGAGTTATTTTTTAAAATGGTTCTTTACCTCTCACAAAGGTTTTCTCGTCTCCAGTTCTCGTAGATCTCAGTGCAACATTCAAGAAGTGAATCTCGGGCAGTGAAATTCTGCAGAAAGACAACAAATGATAAGATCTAAGGAAATAAAATCAAAAAACATATATATTTCGGTATTTCTCAAGGTTCCTGAAGCAATGAATTATTGCTCAATTCTGAATTTTTCAACCGACAATGTACAACGACGCCATTTTCTAAAACAAATCATGDTGGGAAAAGCTTCATTCTTTATCATGTTCAATCATTATAAATAATCTCCCAAGTCCATTCTTGTGTTTTCTTTGTAAAATGTAAGTAATAGTCCAAGTCATGATTCCCTTGCACCATTTCGATATATAGTACCAGTGCCTATGCATCGACATGAGACGACTGCTGAGTGTGCAAAGATGGAAAGCCGCTTTCAACGTACAGAAGTCACAAGAGTCACAGGTACTTATCTTTGGACGCTCAACGTTCGTCTCGCTTCGATGCAAAGRCATGGCTACCTTTCAAGATGGTACAGGGGACCGTGAAGAAGACTGCATTGTAACATTTCTCTGACATACTTCGAATTGGKTTTCGGAACTATTTTTGTGGCCTCACAAAGCTATAAGGACTGCAATTCCCAGCAATCTTTGCACTGCATATTGCTTCCCTCCTCCCAATACATGTTGTGATATAAGATTGAACTTGCTTCATCCCCAGGCTACTCTGTTTCAACAGCATGACGTCATACGTTTCATGCTTTCCAACAGCTCGAAAAGGCGACCACCATTTTGAAATTCAAGAGCGGAGTAGCCTGGAGACGAGGCTAATACTGAACGTGAAAGGTACTTTACCTCTTGATGTCTTCTAAGCTCATTGATTGGTAGAACACTAGCTATGACGTCACCGTAATACGTCAAAGACTCAGTAGAATCCTTGGTTTGTAAAATTCTAGCTGCTATCAAGCGAGTTAACATCAGAACTTTGTTTAGCTGGTTTTCCTGAAAACAACGAAAAAAAATACATAAATAAAACGCTTTCTAAAAGCATTGCATGCCGTTATGGCAGGGTTACATGACAATGGTTTACATTGCAATACTTTTTCATTACAAGTCTTATTGAGCAGAAGGTAAAGAATACAAACCTCGGCTTCTATCTTTGCTCTTTGCTCAATTAATGATACTGACTCTTCTTTGGGAGACTGGGKSAGACTACTGTCAGGCGATAACGTCGTTAGACTGTTTGGAGGCTCAGCATACGTCACTTCCGCTGTTTCTTCCACATTCATCATCTGTTCTTCAGCGCGAAACTTCAATATGTTTTCTTTAAGTCTGTCGGAAATGACACTGTCTCTGCTTTTCTTCTTTCTTGTTATGACTTTGGATGGTTTTCGTTTGGACGATTTTCGACTGCTATGGTGCTTTGGAGATTCGTCATCGTCCATTGTTGGACTTAGTGAATCTCTGCAAACAAAATGTATGTGAAAATCACTCTAAAWGCAATCATTTTTTAAAAGTAGTAATAGTGCTAATTCAAGGCCGTAATCACCGGTATCAAACTGATGAACCTTTTTTAACCGAGAGAACCATACCTTTCTCGTAAAAATACATAGAACAACTAGTGTTGCATTCCAGAAGGTTATTTTGGTAGATGAAAYCTTATTTAAAGAATAGATTGACTTACAGCATTTCTTTAGTATCTGATTCTTCCCTTTTAAACGTCCTTGAACGATACAAAGCTGTCGAAAAAAGGAAACCACACCATTAAGAATGATATCAGACCAGACTCGTGTCCATTCCCTTCTCACATTCTAAGGCGCGCGAGGCATTAAGGGAAGTGCGAGGGAAAATGTAGTGTGTTTTTTTTTTCATTCCCAACACCCCCTATATATTTGAAAGAAACCATATAACTATATATAATATATATCCTAGATAATAACTGATTTATATTCCCTGATCGTAGTATACATATTAAAAAAAAGCTAAGCTACTTTGGTCCCCACGCACCCTCGTAATTTGTTGCTATTCTTATCTTATATGTAATTTTTTCTTCTTCTTGGGTAATTAACACTATACTTAAAAGAAATGAATAAGTGCAATAAAGAAAACTTGAAACTTGAAACATTCGAGCGTGTGAAAACAAAGGAGTAACGACGGGTAGCAGTCTGTAGCAGATCAAAGCAGACAKCGTACTTACATCTCAACATTCCGTGACCTTTCTTYTTCTGACTACTTTCTTTGATGCTTTTCATCCACGTTTCTTTAATCTGTGTTGATGGCGCTTTTAAAACATATATTTCTGAGCTTCCTCGTTTCCGTAACCACACGGCCCACTTGCAAGGATCGCTGTCAACCGTCTCAGTTATACCAAGGCCTTGTGTCTACAATTCAAAACCAAGTGAGATCATTCCATACAATTGAATCACAAATCAAAGATTCCGGTTATAAATTGGGAAAAAAACGGTTAACCATATTTGGTCAATAATGAGTTCAAATTGTGGGAAATTCAAGTGTCTTGAAAACAACCACACGCACATATACTTCCCTTTTTGGAGAAACTGAACTCTTGAGAATTTTGAAAAGCAATGAATTTTTAGTTTCGTTTAACAAATTGTATAGACTTGCTCCGAACAAAAATACATACTGTCCGTAGTGCCGGCAAGTACTCGAAAAAGTTGAAACTAAAGTATATGTGTAGCTACTACTACGTCTTGTCTTACTGCAAGATCAACTGTAATGACTTTAGTTTAGAAAGTCTTTTTGAACGCGCTTGTTGGTAAAGACCTGTACCTTTATGCTGTTTTGGAAACGAAGCTCTGTTACTCCTCCTTCCTTCTCCACTGCATCTGTGACAACAATGAGTCTTTCAAAGAGAAAAACAGCTCGTTCTTTGACTTTTTGTCGATATTTTCCTTCGGCGACTTCTAGAGTTTCCTGAAAGATATAAGGTTAGGTGAATAAATTATACTGTATATTTTATATTTCTCGTTGATTAAYTCTTGTATGCATGGGGTGTATGCGTATAGTTTGTTAGTGCTTGCTTACCCTAAGGAGCAGTTCTCCGGTTTCTTCTGGTTTTGCCTGTAAAGAAACAACGATTCAGCAACTGTTAGAAACACTTCGACAAAATACTAGAACAACAAAAGAGACAGTGGATGGACTACATAAACAAGTACAATTCATTATCCATTTCGTATCTTCTATGTTTTTTCTCTTTACCTTATGGCTTCTTACCATATTAAAGTTTGCAAAAGTACTAAGTCTTGCATCGGAGTAAGTCTTGAAACTGAGCATCGGCAAAGTTTGATTCGCGATAAAACTCCTTAAAAGGCATACTTACGTCAAATCCTTGTATCATAGCAACGGCTATCATGTCATTGGTTCGTTTAAGGATCCTTAACGCGACGTCTATTGCTTGCTAAAAAGGTAAATAAAATAAACAAATAATTAAACAAACGCATATTAAATGACATACCTGTATTTCGCTGCCATCTTCCCCGGCTCTCTCGGTAAACTTTAAGATATCCTGAAGAAAAGCATTAGAGATGTGATGTGAGCTTGGATTGTGATATGACATAGTTTATACAAAACAAACATAAAGAAAAAACGAACGACGTATTTTACCCTCGTACCCAGTCGTGTTGCCACAGACAGAGCGAAATACCAGAAAAGGCTGCGAAGGAGTCTACACTGACACTTACCCTCAAGAGCAGTTGATACTTTGTAATCCTTTGGACTGGTTTTATAAGGTAATCAGGAAGCTGAAGACGCTGACCACATCTCCTCCGACATTCCTTAAGGAGCAACAATTACATTAGTAAAAGCCGGGATATCCCGTCTTCCTAATTGCYGACTTGCAGTCAAGCCCTTGAAATAAGGGKAAATAAGGAGACAAAATACCGGTGGATTTTGTATGTATGTGAAACACGGCCGCCATGACGTCAACTGACAGCCAGCAACGCGCGCGAATAAAGAATAAACATTCCACTTACTTTGAAAAACGTATCTTTATAAGGAAGGACCAGCAGGTCTGATTTAGGTTTTGCTCTGCAGTAAATAGTGTAGAGTTCTTCGAGTTTAGATTCCTGTGTTTTGACGAAAAACTCTATTAATGATGTTTATCATATAATTATCTATGAAATACCTATATTTCTCCATTTCGTAAACTTGATATTTTCACTAGTGAAAATAACACATTCGGGGCTTCTCTATACAGTGGAAGTAAGAAAAAAGGTATTTTACGACATAATTTCGCTACGCTCACTCGTGAGAGATCTTTTCAACACTTGAAGATAAAATCCGTATCTCCGCGCGCCCATGTAATATCCTCTATGTATCATATTTTCTTCATTTAGTAATGGTAATTACATTCAACTTACTGAAGATACGAACGCTTTTCCTAACATCGATGGATCATCTTCACATGGTTTTAACTTTTCAAAAAATATCCTGAATTTCAATAACAATAAGAAGGAGTCGGAAATCATTATTAACATTATTGAAGGGAGGGATTGAGGGATTTTGACAGAGTTCAACTATAGAAGAGTACTTACGAAGAATGCCACTTATGTATGTCCTGAATATTGGAAAAAATTACTTTTTCTTTCCCTTTTATTTCGTTTGGAACGTTAAATTCTTTTGACAAAGCCGCCATATAACCCTATGAAAAAAAAAGAAAATTCTTTTATCTATGACTTGCAACAACAACATATCTGTTAGATAGCTTGTGAGTTAACTTTCAGACACAAAGTTGCTGTTTGTTTTTCATAGCACTTATCGCGCAACATCAGAAACATGTGCATCAAACATCTTGTTTTTCGTTTTCTCTGAGCCAATCAGCGAGCATGATCTGTCCAGCTTGTAACAAATGTTACAACTTTGCTGGAAATTTGGATGAATCGGGTGAGAAACGGAAAACACCTTGCTCAAACGTTAAATAACAAACGGTTAAAAACAATTTAAGTCAGAATACTAAAAGTAATATCTTACCTTAATAACATCCCCAAGGTCGCGTATATAATTCTGTTCTGTGTCTATAAGTTCACTAACGACATACCTGGTTCAAAGTCAAATTATRAACCTTTTTATTAATGCGGACGCCATTTTGAATCGGAGAGGTAATAAAGAGAGCATGATTTTATAAAGAATTATAATTTTTTCAAATATTGGTAATGCGAATGATAAACAAGCATTCTTTGCTTACGAAAAATTAAGAACCCATTTAAGAGCCTACAAAGCTTGATTTCAAGTTAATTTAAGGACCATTTATATAAGAACTTGTTTAGGTTGACTCGGAGAAATCTAAGTTCTCACACTCGAGGTTTTACTGTACTCAAAGTGTCAACGAGCTCTTAACATTACAAATAAACCTACCCTCTTCTGATAAAAGCGTTCTGTTGTGGATTGGATGGAACTTCTTCGGCAGTCATTATAACTTCACTACAATCCATCATTACAATCTCTGTATTTACAGTTTTTACGATGTCCTCTGTACTTACAGAACTGTGAGTACTGGCCGAGTCGTCCAACGACTCAACCATAGCAACTTCAAAATCTAACGACGCTTCGGTCTCAAAACAGTTTACTTCACACACATTTAAGTCCGTTGTTTCACATGCCATTGTCATTTCCTCACTTTCTCCTACGTCTTTCACTTCAGTCACAGAAAATACTGGAACGTCTTCTTGGCTGCCGACTTCCATTACAGGATCMMATACACAAACTTCTTCGGTTACGAGTATTTCTTGGCTATCGCAGCTCACAACTTCGCCATTGTTTACATCGATATTTTGAATTTCTTGAACAGCGATGAATTCGCAGTGATTTTCGTTAGCGGATTCTTGTATTTCAACAGAGTTTTCTTCGATGACTAAATGTTCTTCCTTTTCTGTTTCATGACTGTCAGATACTGAGTTGCAGTTTCTCGCAGGCCGAATGYGAGGTTGTTTTGGTTCTCCTCGTTTTGGTATGTCGAAACTTTTAGCTCTTGTAACTTTCTTCTTATCCTTTTATAAAGAATAAAATAAACATTTTGTTGTGCTTTTAAAATTGTATGTAAAGAATGAATTTATTATCAATGTTCCATAAATACAAACCAAAATAACTGAATAAACGGATAAAAACAAAACAAAAAAAGCTCAAAAAAACTCGTTTTATTTTCAAAGATATTTTCAAATGTTTTGATAAATTTTCAGTAGACAGCGAGTGCACTTTTAAACGGTGTATACACAGAGTCTAATATACGAACCTTTCTTTCGATGGCCTCTACGCTAGTCTCTGACCTACGTAACTTTGTAAGTTTTTGTTTTTCATTTACGACTTTGGATAATTGATCTGTTGCGAGGAGAATAAGCGATCTAAAACATTTCAACGCAGCGTCGGCTTGACTGCACAAAACCAGCGCTAAAAACAGAAAAGCACACGAGGTTAACAACAACAACAACCAAAAAATTCACGTTTATTTTCATCTTTTTCTTTTATTTTCCCATTTTTCTTTCTCTTTGCATTTTTTCCGTTTATCTTTTTTTTCATTCGTTGTTTTTTTTTGGCTTGAGAAATAGGAAATAAAAAATGCGCCTTGAAACGTCAACTTATGGATCATTAATGTTTAAAGACGCTATATTATTTGAAATTTAACCTTTTCTGGTATTGTGCTAGCAGACGACAAAGTCTAACGAGCCAGACCTTTCGATAAGTGATAATGCACACTACCAAACACTCGATCAGCTACACAATACAATGTACCATTAAAACGTGGTTAGTTAAAAAAAATATGGTGACAATATCACTACTGCCGCTGGAATGGAAAAAAACTAACAGCTTGATGTGTAACAAACATCAATATCATCATACACTGAAATAAATGGAGAAGAGAAAACGGAAAATAAAATAAATTATGAATTAAACGAACAAGTGACGGGAATAAAGATATTTATTATGAACGCATACATGTATATCTTTAAAATTAATAAATATACTAAGAAAAATGAATAATTAAACGAGTGAATGAGCAAGTAAACAAATGAATGAAATAATGGAAAAATGAATTGGAAGAATGAATGAATGAACAGATAAATATCAATAAACAACTTAAAATTGCAACAACAAAAAACAACAACAACATTGAGTAAACCAATTACTCTAGATTCTATTTTTATTTCTGTGTAAGTCAAAATATAGTTAACTTTAATACCAAATAAAAATATGAAAATCAGCAGCTTGAAAACAATTTGGTAGCAAGTCCAAAACAACAATAAWGCTTTAAGCCCATTAAAACTCAATATAAACACAATTTCTGTACTAAAAGCTCGTTTTAACTTTCCAAGGTCAACCTGACACAGGAAATATACGACTAATATGGATTCAACAAAACCTGCCCTCTAAAATAATATAACTTGATGTACTAGACTATTCTCTGGTAATGGACACAATTACAATCATCACGATCCGTAATCTAATTTTGTCACTCAAAAAAAAACCTCAGTAGTATTTAACTTATTTGAAGCTTATAAGGCTCATGCATTCACTAGACATAAAGACGTAAGCATAAGCGTTAAACAATAAGCACWYAAGACATAAGYACAAGACATAAGCTTGAAACATAAGTTTTCATTTGATTTAATTATAGGGAATAAGCTCAAAAAAATGTTTGTTCCTTATTATTTCTATGCTTATTGTTTATTTTTATTATAATTGATGCTTATCAATTTGCTTTTTTTTAGGTTATTAAACCAGTCTTAAATACTTGCATTGATAGTAGTTGGTTAACAATGTCTAAAATATTGATATACTTCATTATCCACACATCTGCATGACTTATATGTTTAAAAATACAAGGGGTCATAGCTATAATTATATATATACCACATATAATTAGCACAAATGCAACATTCCTAAATGTCACAAATAATAATGAGGTATTTTAAAATCTCTGGTTCAAGGTTAAACAAGATTTTCTTTGAAAAAATATTTTTTTATTATAAGCATTATTAATTTGCTGGTAAAGTACAAAACAAAACAGATGTGTAGACCTCAAAGTCTTAAATGTACTCATGGATGTCAAGAGCTGAAATATTTCTTTACATTGGAGTGCTTGCATAGCACTGCACTCTAGTGACTAACCTTTGCCAGCTTTCAAGTACAGAGACATGGCTTTGCGAGGATGATCTCGTTTGCAGTTATCTGCCTCTTCAATATTAGCAATGGCATCTATTAAACAGATTTCAGTGATTATATTCTTACATTCTAGACATAATGGCATAATTATGTTGGATTTTATGATTGTAGCTATTATGGTATTTCCTGTTTTGAGAGTATTTTGTGCATGGGATAATTTCAGACTTTATAATCATTTTGACTACAGATTATTACTTCCCAGTATACTTCCCAAAATAAAATAAAAGCACCAAAAAATAAAAAAATMAAAAATAATAAAATCAAAAAAATCAAAATATGATCAATACAAATTACAAATTATTATGGTCTCAGTAATTGAATCTCTGCAAAGGCCTATTTTGACAACATTATGCATGTGACATGTGTACCCTATTAAGCTTTGACATATGCAACTATGAACAATTTTGCTTCTATAGCATTAAGAAACATACTGAAACCACCGATTATGAATTTCCTGTGATATCACACTTCAATCTAATTATATCACAGATCGGAAATATAATGGTATCATCAGAGTTATGTGCTATAAGCTAATATGTACATGTATGCGACAACCTATAACCTCATTAAGTATTTGGTTAATACACAGATATGCTCAGTAACTTCCTGAGAATGTAAAAAATATCTCATATCTGCACAATCTTGGAATTTCATTGCATTTGTTTGAATATTCACAAGAATCACTTTGCCATCACAAAATGTTTGTTTGCTATTATAGCTATATTTCTTTTTCAAAAATAAACGAACTCCAACAGTGTAACAGGGACTGCAGAGTGTCTGGGGGGGAAGGGGGGGGGGTACTCCCCTATATTTGCTATACGGGGACATGCCGCCAACCAGGGTATCGTTTTCAGCGATTTTACTCTGGAACTGCATGGGTATCGTTTTTTTGTGATTTCACTCTGGAACAGGATCAGGGTTTTGATGTCCCAGCGGCACACCCCCACCCAAGTTTGGGGGAAGTATCCCCACCTCCCGGGCATAATGATACCATTTGGTAGTATCACAAGAAATATTTTCATTTCACTGCATATGATATGTTCTCAGAGCCCCTCAAAATGCTGGAAATTGCATTTCTCACGTTCAAAATTTCAAAAATTCATCAGTCAATCTCTTGAGCCAGCCTTCAGGCTAGTGGTCATTTTAGCCCCCTCAACAAAAAATATGCTCTACTGTTCCTGTGTAGTTATTTTTTTTYCCTTCTATTAAACAAAACTCTGAAAAGACTCCTCCCTTTCTCCAAATTCACAGTATATTAATAATTGTTATATAATATCAATTAATATTTAGCTCACCTCTTTCTTCCTCAATTACAGAATTTGGAGATAAAGGTCTTGATTCATCTTCTCCGGCGCTCATTACTGAAGTGGCATGACTTTCCATACCTGGATGCTGTAGTGAATATTCTGTAAGGCTCAAGACATCTTGACGAGACAGTGGCTCATGAATTACTGGCTGGAATACTGTCAATGAAAATTAAAGCAGAATTAAATAAAAACATGAATTTTACAGTAAAATATGCACTTCCTGAATTACAATTCTCATCGCCAATAGATCAGGAGTTGTAAGGGAGAAGGTATGTGCTACATGAAACTTTTAAGTCCCCCTCTAAGTAACTCCCTTATTTTCTTAAGCTCTCTCTGTGCCTGTTTCTTTGTTCGGCCTTGGAATACAATGGAAATTTTGAATTCCTAAATCTAAAGGCATCCCCTGTGGTACATGGAGAAATATTATTATTACTATTTTACAGTAATTGAATGTTCTTTGCAGCAAAAAAGCTTTTTGCACTATAAATTCACTATTAATTCTGATGATTTATCTATAAAGTTATGAATTTTAGTACTATAAATTAACTTCAAAATAAAATTCATATTTTACATGCATCCTTCACTATATAATTTATATTACTTGATTCCCAATAAAATTTGGCGTAAGCTAAAACCCCTATATAACTATTCCCTCTACTTGTGGTTAGGGTCACAACAAAAATTAAAGCTATTGATAGATGGGCAATTAACCAAACTATCCTACATGCTATTGTTCCCAAATTTTTAAGTGTTTTTGTTTGAAAGCCAGTGGGCCGCACATTAATTGATTTACTAAAATGCCATGCAAACCCAGCTTAAATAAAATACAGCAATTTCTGTTAACCATTAAGAATTACTTAAAGCCATTAAAATAATTTTAATTAGAATATTGCATCATGTCTGAGATCCCATCAAAAAATGAAAATGATGTATTTATATTCTGATCCAAATCATTAATAATTCACTGAAGTAATGAGCGTTATTTGATATTTTAATCTTTCTTGATCCAAGTGATCATCGCTTTCTGAAAACGACTAAAGACATAAAGTCAATAAATTAAGTATGACATAAATAAAGGGAAAAAAATCAATGAAACATCCGTTTGAGAAGACGTAATTGTCTATACCATAACCGATGGAAATGCATCATTACACGTTCAATTTCAATGTAAAATTCAAACTATACTGTGCCGACTTTTTCAGCAATTGCATTCGCACTAGAAAATTAAAAGGTTGATTACAAAAGCTTTTTTTAATCCTAGCAGTTTGGATTTTTGGGAGTTATGGATCACTGTAATCCTGCGAAAGAGTTGATTTATTATTTTCAGATATAATGGAATTGGTATTCTTTCGAACAGCCTGAGGTTATGTGCACAGGATGCTATCGACACAATAAACACAAGATTAAAAGGGATGTTTTCAATCACTAAAGATTATTTTCCTTACTATCGAAGGAAAAGACGATTATATGGTTAAGATCAATCGTCTATCTCGCGATCAACACCAACTGACATAATAAATAGAAAATTGTACAAAAAAAAATTATTATAGTGCAAGGGGAGTGACTAGCCATGATTGGATTCTACCGATTGTTGCAAATAAAAACAAGTTTCTTAAATGGCTGTAGCAGATGGCAACTTATCGAAAAAAAATCTCTTAACTGACTAGCTTTTACCACCGTCAACCTTCTGACAATTTATCGCACTAGTTTTTGTTTGGATATGGTGTAACTCGCGATTGCAATTGTCGCGTCGAGTCGTCCTTGATATGTGTTGCTAGCAATATTAATCACTAAGGCTTTCATAATAAGCCGTCGATATCTGCCATTAAGAAATGATGGCAAATATCGTGCAATGCCTCGATAAACGCTTCCATGCCGAGTGGTAAGTTCTGTCAAACCAGTAGGATTGTGTAGATAAAGATTGAATAAATACTAGCTAATGTAGGTTACCTTAACTGCACTAAAACAACTTAACAACTTTGCGGTTTGACGATTATAATATTGAAACCCATTTACAAACCTTAAAAGGCGCGTAAAATTCAATAATTATTCTAAAATAAGCTCAATCTTTATGACTTCACTGAACAGTGCCTGATCAACTTTGAAGTTGACATTATGATTTTACAATATACACAATGAGCTTCCTACAGAAAACCCACATTCGTCCTCTTCCTTAGACAAAATACATTAAGTGGCGCAGTTAAAATTAGTACATAAACACTACAGAAAAATCTAGCACATTCCTACCGTAAGAGAGGTCTTGTTGTGCCATTCTGAAATTCAGTTGACTGTTTTATTTGTAGAACGACACAATGGCAATCAAGAAGTCAATCGGAATTTCCCGGACCTATTCGAGCTTCCTTGAGGGTTTTCACTCCGACTCTCTGCGTTGTTTGTAGGTTTCTTTCATTCTGAAGGTTTGTAGCACTTCAAACACTAAGGTCTCGTCAATGAGACAGTCAGATGGAAGTTAAATGAGCCAAGCAGCTGCGTTATGATGTGTGACTTAAAATAACATAGCGTGCATGCCCCAYTCAAGTGTGAGCCGCTCTTTTGGTTTACGATGCGCAACTATGTCACAACAGTGTCTACTCCTTCCAGCCAGGAACAATAAACTCCAACCGAAACAGTAAATTGGACGTTTTGAAACGAAACGTAAGACGCGCGACATCAAATAAAGAAAGTATGTTTTTCTGTGATGTTAATAAAATGATTGATATTGTAACGCAATTGAATATTGCGTGACTTATAACGTCATGAGTAACCTTGAGCAATATTGGACGCTATAGATTGTAAAAGTGGATCAACCACAGTTATGTCATGATGAAAGGATTATTATCTGAAAGAAAACAGATTACTCCACTTTTCGTGTCACGCTAGGACAAACATGAGATATTGGGCTGGTTCAAATATTTTTTCTTTATGGTTGTGACAAGTACGCAATATCACCCTTACACACATACATCTCTACTTAGCAATTACATGTTCACGCGTAAACTGCAGTTTTTGGGCAACGTTGCGCCTAGCCATACTTTGATGATACAGAAAGACTCAATTAGGGACGGGACGAACTTTTAAAAAAAGTTCGAGTTTTTAGTAGCAAGAGAAAAACCCGCAAAACTATTCTTCTGTAAAAAAATTAATTCTAAAATACTTTATAGGTATTGSTACCAAGGTCGGATCACAACTGCAAACGTATATATGATAAAAACYTTTGMAYTACCCATTTGGCTGTCTACGTAAATCAATTCGGCAATAGTCGAGTTTCGCGATCTCTTTTACSCTGTGTTAGCCTCAATTGTGTGCTAAAACATTCAGAAATGTAGATAAAACTCGTGAGATTTCAAACTATTTCCATTGTCTTCTATACTCATATCTCTTGCATTTGCACGGGATGTTGTGAATAAAAGGATTTATTACATGGTTTTGAGGCTAACACAGCGTAAAAGAGATCGCTAAAAGGGTTTATTAAATTCCATTAACTACGCATGCTCGACTATCCCTTTTAAGAGTTCTGCGGCTACCCGCATGACTCACTGCTAGCCAAGCTCAACCCAATAGCCATACCCCTCGCTCAGCAGGCTTCCCTTATGCGTAAAAGAGGGAATTGAGAACTGTGAACGAGATTGTGGTTTCAAGTTCGTAGTAATATTTCAGTACACATACGCGTTCCTCCAACGTATTCAAAACAGGTGTTACCGCCCATGACGGCCAAATCGTGCTCCAGTGACCTAGAGGTAAGTGCGGCTTTGATACTGGAGCGCTATTTTTCACAATATCTCTGATCCACATCGAATCCTAAAGAGAATATAACGAGAAAAGAGCAAAAGACAGCAAAACAAGTAAGGGAAGTACATGTATTTGTTCACACTGTATGGTCTGTATGGTCATAACCGTGCGTAACTGGTTTGCCGACTCAAATATGTAACTACCTTGCCGACGTTTTTATTCGCCATGTCGTAAACCTGTTTAACTCTCAAATCGGCAATCTCTATTTGTGCGACATACAGTGTCGACCCGTCACYATCCTCGGGATTTGGCCAGCGGTATTCGACAGGGAGGTTAGCCCTGGAACTACTCGTTGATCGACAAATCGGTATGCCATTAATGAAATTTTATAAAATACCATATATAGCTGAGAGGTGTGAAAGGCATACGAATTGGAACTAGTATGTGTAATCTGGTTGGAACCGCAGACGACCCTACATGAGGTTGAAAATTAAGCTTGATTCGACTTGGCTTATCGTCAGTCAGATAAGAATTCAGCAAAAATGAAAGTTAGAATTGCCCTTTGGGTTAGAGAAGAAATACTGGTGGCATGGGTATATCAGTAGTGGTCCAAGTATGGAGCCTTGTGGGACCCTCTTGTGGTACACCACATGCTGCCAGAAAACAGTCAGAAAAATGTTCATGTCGGCAAGATGATAAAGGAACTTCTGGAGCAACGTCTGTGAATAATCGTGCTGACCAGCTACACGTAGCTCTGCAGCAGTTTCATTAATCAATTAATGATGCAAGAAGCTAGACTTCATCAAATGGTTTCGAAATAGAATACCAGACTATCAGAGACTAAGCCGGTGTGACAAAAAACAACAGTTGTTTAACAGCACAGCAAGACGATTCTGGGAGACTAGTAATGACAACTGTTTTTGCTCAATTACAAAATTCCGGCTTTCATGCTCCGAATCTGCATATATGTCGAATTCAATACATACTACTTCACAATTAAATTAGGAACAAGCAGTTTCTGATCCCGGYCGAATGCAAGGTAAATGGACAGGCATAGACCTGGGGCGATAACCTGCGAGCAAAATTCTGAAAATATTCATATTAATTTCCAGGTATACAATTAGAACGAAAGGCTTTCTTTGCATTCAAATACACTGATTACTTTATCTATACATGCATTTATTCTTTTTTTCACTTCATCATTTTATTGTAACGTTCGTTACTTTTCATGTTTTTATTCATGTTTGATTTCATTCTATATAATTTCATTCATTTAATCTTATTATTCGCAGAACTCTGATCTTGTCTGCCAATTTTGGGATGCCTGTTTTCTATTTGTCGCGTTTGTTCCGTTCAGACAACATTTTCTAGACAGGGATCCCTACATAAATTCTTCCTCGTCACTCGTCAAAGGAAACACTTGATCACATGCAAGGCCGAAAGTTAATTTGGCCATTAGTTGTTGATAGTAATGGCTGTCAGTGTTTCTATTAAATGTAGATTATAAACTTGCCGAAAGTCGGACTTTATTTGGACAAAGACAATATGACACCGAGCGAAAGCTCGAATGATGAAAATAAATAAAAGCGAGCAAAGAGGGTAGGTGGTAAAGTGGACTTTGTACATGCGCATGCAAGTGAAGATCGGTGATGAAGGTTTGTTTATTTTTTTCACCGTGTTTAATTAAGCAGATGATAATATGTCTTTCGTTTGTGCAATCCCATTTCCACCTTTTCTAGTTTTCATTTATAGGTATATGTCGAACTTCGGCAGAGCCTAATAACATAAAATTCAAAAATCAAATGCTTGCGAGGTGCATCAATTTAATTCGACAGTGTACGATTTATCGATTTTACGATTAAAACATTCGAAAATACGGTTGAGGCAGCTGATTTAAACGTCGCATCTCACATATGCTAAATGCAACGTTGCTTCTTATTATAACATACACCTTATAGACCCCTTGCAGTTCATGGAAATGCAGCTCCAACTGGAGGACAAAACAATGGAATCTAGTTCCCAAGAGGATAAAAATCTTTTGTTTTGTCCTCCAGATGAAGCTGCTTTGACGTCACATGCAAGGGGTCTATTCCAAAATGGGTGACTAGCCCCTTGATGTCTCGTTTTCATAAAATTATTCTTTTGTTTTTGAGCTTGAGTGACTTTAAAAGAAAAGCACAATTTCATGAAAACGAAATATCAAGGGCTAGTCAGCCATTTTGGATTAAGGTGTATTCCGTGTGAAAAAGTCGTCTGTGTTGTCCGCCATATTGGAAAACACAGTGACCGGGAGGAGATTGGGATTAATATCTGCTCGACACCTAGAGTTCGACGTCTAAATGAAATACATTACTAAAATAGAAATTGTATTCGGCACATGCTAAATGCTCTCAGCTGCGGTTRCTAAAATCATCAACGGTGCACAAGCCCACCGATTAACTCTTATGGCTTTCTTATGGCGTTCAATGATTGCGGTTCGGTGGTGGTCTGTACTTGCTTTTTACTTATATTTATTACCAATTTATGTTTTCTTTTGCGATTCCAAAATAGCGCTCGGCTTCGCGCTCTTTTCATCTTCTTTGATTTAAAAATAATTAAAAAGGACTTTCTATAAAGCTTTAATTGCTCTATTTATTAACTATTTGTTTCAATTCGCGTAGCCTTTTTGTCTTTTTAGTATATACTTTTAAAAATAAAAATGAGGAATTTTTGATCAAAATGCATGGACTATTAAAAATAATTAAAAAGGACTTTCTATAAAGCTTTAATTGCTCTATTTATTAACTATTTGTTTCAATTCGCGTAGCCTTTTTGTCTTTTTAGTATATACTTTTAAAAATAAAAATGAGGAATACTTTCTTAGTGATATCAGGCCCAACGCAAAGCAAAAATTGTCTAATAAACAAATAATTAATATTTAAATGAAATAGATGATTAAATGCTTGCTCTCTCAGAAAATTGCGCATTTTCAAACACATATTAAAAACCGACTAAATCTTCTGACTAGCTATAATCGCATTCTGTTGTTGTTATTTCATTTCGTTGTCTGAGCATGATTTCAATTAAAGTAAATCTTGGGATGTGATCAACAACGAGGCAGGAACTCGCAAGTGATTGGTTAATCCAAATTAGTAACCAAGGTAACGATAGTTGTTGGGGGACCCACGTGTGGACATCACCTGTACTCRGCCTAATGTATTCCGTAGACACGACAGTACTTCATAAGCGGCAAATGAACTCTCAAAATCGCATTTTTAWCTGAGAATCATATATTCAGTTTTAAGCGCCTTCTTTCTTTGCTCAGCAAATCAAAAATAAAGACGTTCGGTGCTTATCAATTTACCTTTTCGCTAAAAATTCAATTGAAATGGGAAAAAGATTGCGTTTCAATTTAAGTAAAGATTGATCTTCAAAGTAAATAGGTTTATTTAATTCATACTCATTCCAGAGAAAATTGCTCGTCATTTTTTTTATACTGGATTGCGTGACGGCCGTCTGGTTTTGCGAAGATCCCCGTATGTGCCGTGGGGATTTGCATTAAAAATCACCAGACAGCTGCCAGCCTTTTCCATTGGAATAGTGTATCATATGACAACGTGAACTATTCATTTCTCGCATAGCATGAAATCTTGTGTGTAGTCTCGGTGAGTAGGAAAAGGTCTTTAGTCCAACAAGACGGTATTTACCGTTTGAGTCGACTTTCAAACGGTTTGTGGTTGGCAATCAACTAAGTAGTAATTGTGACGAATCCTACTCGTGTCTGAAGTAAAAACTTGGTGTTTTGAGACAGCGCTGTCACGCACTGAGCTTGGTGTTAGCGACTGTAAGTGTTGGGTTTCACACCCAGCTTAATCATGAAGACGATGTGTGCTTGAACTAAACCTACAAGTAATACAACTTCTCTTTCGTCACATTTATTGGGAGTTCATCAACATGGCTAGCTCAATAGGTAGGCTCTTAGCTTAGACACTTAATATTCCCCCCTTAAAAATACATGCACAACTGTCTGTAGGATTACAAGGCAGACAAAGTGATTGGCTTTGATTCTCACCCTTTTGCAATTAATTAACGCTTTTGGTAATTAGTTGATTCTGGTACGGAATTTCCAGGGCAATTTCTTCATGAAGAAGACCTTGACGAGGCGATGCGACTTGCCAAAAAGATAAACTACGAACAACTTGATGATTACGARCGAAAGATGATCAATAACATATTGGATTTTAACTGGGACGAAGAACATCTCATGGTGTCCAATTTATTGCACGCTCCTCATATAATCCCAGAAGAAATTCGCTTAAAAACCCTAATTAAAGGCTTACGAGAAGAAAAGCAACCGTATTATGCCCTTGCCGCGGCTACTGGGATAGCGAGCCTCAAACTTGAAGCACCAGATGCCGAGAGGATTATCGAACTTCTCAAAAATCTATCAAATCACAAGCAGGGCACAATCGCAGTGCGTGGATTCATGACATTAGCAGGTCTGCTTCGACACCCAGAAGATACTTCGTTTGTTGTAAAATTTATGTACAAATCACAGTCAATTTTGAGATATAATTCATTGGACTGGTTGATTGCAAACATACGCGATAAAAATGAGCTACTGAAAATCCTGGACGATAAATGTATGCCCGAAGAGGTGAGAAAAGAAGCGACTGATCGCGTGAATACTATTTATCTCGACAAAGAAGACCACATTGATCAACGTGGTAAGTGTCACACCTTATTTTTGATACAGAGTGTCAAATTGTTATTTTTTTCCGTATATTGTTGTGTTTGTTWATTRGATTAGTGGCGTTACACACCCAATTGCTGCAGACTTTGTTTCGATAGCAGAACATCGTTTCATCTTATTCTCACTTTATATTTAGGATAAGCTCATGTATTTTTRGATGTCGTCCCTTATATCACAGTGAGAATAACATTTGTGCGTAGTGCCACCACATTCATCAGGCTTTCATCAGGCTTGCACAGTTACATCGGCTTAGTTTTATGTTTCATGGCCAAGTGTTCCACATTGCGCGGCGCGTGCTGTGCATGAATAGAAAATCCTTGACATAACTGTCACAGCAAACAAAAAACCTAAAATTTACCCAAAAAAATCAATTCAAAGATTTTTATTTTGTTTATATAAATTTTGATTAACTTTCTCAATGACCGCGTTTGCGCTTGCCAACAAAACATAACCAAAACACACATGTTTCTATGGTTTTTATGGTAAATATTACATTGTTGAACTATAAACAATACTACGAAAATGAGTACTTGTCTATGGACTGTTTTCTTTRCATGACAAAGCAGGGAAGTTATAGTTTAGGAAACATTTGCATAGAGAAAGGGCTTCGCGGAAGTTGATTTCTTATCTGCGTCCTTCATTTGTGGTGTTGTACTTTGAATGTATTTTACTTCTTCTCATGTCCTGTTTTCTGGTTTACATAAGTTCAAACGTAATAACACAACTCAGATAAAATAGAAAACACTTGGTAAAAGTGTAGAAATAACAGTTTTGTAATATTATAAATTTAGTGGAATAGCTTATGGTGAAGAATTCGTTGATTTATGCCCAATTAAAAATCGCTCTAATCGAGTTTCTTYGACTTCTAGATTAATAAGGCGATAGCAAACATTTAGCAGAAAGTATAATAAGTCGCACAAGCCAATATATAAGGCAGACGTATTAGACTAGTGGCAGATGGTAAAACTATTCTAAAATGTAATATTTTTCTTTTGTTTATCAGTTTTTATCATCGAAATAAGGTCTGTTATCATATGAGCGTGACAGGAGCCCKTTTTCTTAATAGGACGGAAGTAAGCATTGCGTTTATAGGAAGCTTAGCATTGACTCTATTTCAAGTTATTGAACTCTTTATCAATATTTTGCGAACATGTTTAAGCAAAGTCTGAAAGAAAATTAAGGCAGAGAAAGAGATTTCATCATTTCGAAATATTTGTATATTTTTTATGACAATACTAGTATTCTGCGCGCGTTTTTTGTTTTTGTTGTTGTTGTTGTTTTTTCTGATGTGTTTTTTTTAGAGATCGAAATCATTAATCGAATTTTTTTTCACAAAGACCTTTAAGAAAAAAAAATATCGCAGACGCGCRCATATTTTTGACTCGTCTTTATGCGCGCTCTTTCGATATTTTTAAAAACGCYGGCGCAAAAACCGTCTTTTAATATTTTATTAGAGCAACTTTGACAAGTTTGTTTTTACTACTGACTGAAAAGAAAGATTTTCTAAAATTTTGTTTTTGAGCTCTTGCTAGAGCACTGAACAATGCTGAACTGATTCATTTCTTGTACGAGACAACAATATTCAAGATGGCGGCCGAAAATAATATGGTAACGTGAAGTATTTTGATTTTTCTTGTTTCAACGTTGTAGATTGGACAACAGAGGAAATCCACCATTTTACATTCGTACCGAATTTGGCCGAGTTTGAAGCCATGATGACAAAAGAACAGACTTTGTCTGAACTTTTTTCCGAACTTGATACAGACAACGATGGATTTATAGGCGCAAAGGAGCTGAAGGAGTTTTGTGAAGATATTGGTCAAGAAGTAACAGATGAAAGAGCTAGTAAAGATATAGAAATCGTGGACAGAGACAAAGACGGTAAAATTAATAGAGATGAGTGGATTGAGCTCATGTTTCCTAAGTTTAATATTCAGTAGATGACCTTTAGATAGGAAGAAATAGCGAGAATAGAATAGGAACCGTCGCTAAAATCCAAGAAAAGCGAGAATCTCGCCTGATCTAAGAATAAACWGATAGGAAATACTCATCGTAGAAAAGCAAATTGGGTTGGCAATAGAGCAAACACRCTATATCCTCAAAATAAAAGCGAATAACAGAGCTAAATCTTCGTMCAAATCGATACTTTGTCGTAGAGTTTAGTATTGTTTTTTCTAGTCGTAGACTAGTCGGAGAACAGAACGAAGCGCTAGGAAAATGTATCAGTATGGACAGAACATCGAAGTTTATTTTACGGGAGTGGAAAAGAAAAAAATATTTCCTAAAGTTTAAGTCGTTATCAATTATCAAAATGGCCATTAGCCGACATTCCNCGTGTTAAAGACTAGAGTAGCCAACAGAAAGGGCAGAATCTAATATGATTTAGAGGAGTAAAGAATTAAAAGTACGAAAAAACCTTGTGGACTTCTTCATTTTGTAAATGTCCACTATTCTCAATGATACCAAATGTGGTGCAGTGGTAAACACGTCGAATCCACAGGCTTGGGCTCGACTCCGAACCCAACTTAGTACCTCAATCCACCCGATATAGATATAGAATTGGTAATAAGCACTGAGTAGCAGCACTGGAAAATATCGCGTGCCATAAAGGATGTAAATTTGATGGAAATATAATGTAATTGTCCAAAATGATGGAAATTTGATGGAAATGATTTACATCCAATTTACATCATTTTGGACACTTACATCATATATACATCAAATTTACAACCTTTAAAGCGCGCGATCTTGATTATTTTTCCACTGTTCTAGTAGAACATTGTGTCAAAGAGATTTTTAGGTTGCCTCMGATTGTCTTCGATTATTGTTTATAGTTGTTGTTTTGACATCGGTTGCATCCCGAATGAAATGCAAAGTATACCTTTCTACGGAAAAGAGAGTTAGAACAGCTTTTCCGCGCTGATGAGTTTTCTTATAGTTTTCCGTACTCAAAGGAATGAAAAACAACATGAATACGATGCAAAAACGAGTCATTACGGGCGGCGCCATTGAATATTTTTCTTCTGCCTGGAGGAGCAATCGGAGACGGAAGCGGCGTCGTAAGTACACTTCCGACATCGAAAGACGACTCTACTTCCCCCTGAACTTAATACTGTTCAAAAGTTACAATGACAATTCTTTATTTTCAATGTACCGCATGGCAGGTCATTGAATGTACCTCAACCGCCATTTTGAAATGTCTTAAGAAAGGAGCAATGAAATGATTGTTTTTAATAGACAGCACAAGTGTGTGTTGGGCAATCGTCAAAACAACGAAAACGAATAAAAAACGATGTGCAGCAGAGCACTGTTGGTGCTCTGGCCCAACACGAGTAAAATATGGACCTTTCTCAAATATGCMTGCCAAATTTTTTTTATGCTAAGATATTAAAAAAATTCTTCACTTAGAAGCTGTTTAAAGTTATATACTATATCAAATAATAATTTTAAATCTGCTAACTTTACCAGGGTATCCTCAACCATACGTTTCTCTTTAAGTTAAGCAGTTTTGGAAAATTCACATATTTCTACGAATTTTCATTGGAACTTACTATAGATGTTTACACAGCTTTTAAGTAATGCATATATTTAAGTATTTCAGGGATAATTTTCTCCCAGCGTGAAAAAAAAAAATATGCTAATAAGCGGTGGCCATGTTGGAGAAGGTTCTCTATTGTTTGACAAAGATTCTTGAATTCCTTGCTTATTATTGGATAAACTCAAGGGCTTGGCTCACAGCCTTTATATATAATTTAGTTGGTTTACTTAAGGATCAGACTTTTGACAGTTGTTGCAGATCAGATTTTTATGACAACTTGTTAATAATAAGGAAGGATTAATTTCACGTAAATAGGGGATTTTCTTGGATTCTTAGAACCATTTTGTTATCACACTAGTAAATATTATCAGCTTGTATTCTAAGGTAGTGGAATTATCATTGTGGTTGCACGTCTTTTGAGTGAAAAACCTCACTGTTTTAAATTAAATTTCTATCTTTCTAAGTGTCGCATTGAAGAGATCAACTGACTGGTTATTCCAGTAATTAAAGACGGAATTCCTCTAAAACATTCATGACAAAATTTTGTTATTGAGTAAAAAAAATTAAAACATCTAKTAAACCATAAGAATATTGAAACGCGAAGAAATCATTTATGACAGGGATGTATAAGTCAAAACAAGCGACAAAGATGATGGCTTTGCATCGCGACGGGGATACATAATGCACTTTGAACTAAATGACTACAGAGTGTTCTCTTTTTGCTTCGCTGAAATCAAGTTTCTTTACTGTTCAGCACTCGGGGACTGACTATCAAAACAAAAATCACTACGAAATGGACACTATCGCTTCGTTTCAAATGGCAAATGGAAAAAAATATTTACAGCTTGTCTGCTGCCCGATTGGCACTTACCGGCGGTACAGCGTTTCATGATACAAGGTCTTTCTCCACTTACTTAAACCAGTGCTGGTAGACTAGGCGTAGAATGTAAAGAATCATTTGTTAACTAAACCACACTCGTAAATCGTACTCCTGTCAAATGATTCAGTTTTGGTGAGGAATACAGTAGTGAGAACGACACAAAATATTAAAAATAGATCATTTACAATTTTAATATACAATCAGAAAACACATTTGGCGTTTGTTAAGGTGAATGTCATCTCTTTATAACATGTTGTGTCTGGACACGTCCAGTGGCCAACAGTGATGACTGTAGAGCGTTTAATCCTTGTACGATTGACTCTGGCAAAACACGCTTCGCTCGCTGTTGTTCTTTCCATGAATTCAAAGCTGATTCCACCTCTTGTGGTTGCCATGGTGATATCTCAAGAAGAGAGTAGGCAGTTGCAAGTTGTATTGCAAAAGTTACTGTTGAGAAATTAATAGAAAATATATTAAAACGTGTCGGTGCACAACACAGCTGCAATCAAATGCAGTAAATTAAATTATCATAACTTAGATACCTGGGGAATGTTTTTTTCAAGGATTGTCATTGTTCACGGGGTGTTTATAACGTGTAAATYAAGGTGTTGTAATTTGAGAGCCACATTTATCAGACGTGCTGTAAAACGTCGGTTTAGGGGTAGAATCTTTGATAATTTCGCGGATGGTTGTAGAAATCCCAGAAAAAATAACGAGCCAGCCTTCAACCAAAGAGAGAGAGAGATAGAGAGAGAGAGAGGGAAAAAAGATAGGACAACTGTGCACCAAAAAAAACAAACTGGTCTGAAAAAAATATCATCCACATTTTATGTCCCCCGTTAAAGCTTTTCCAGTAGCGAAGCTGTTTGAAGCCACTCCCAGCCCCCCCCCCCCCCAAATATCATCACGTGGTCTACCCCTGAACAGACATTCGTCACGTCTAATCAAAGTGGCTGTCAAATTACAACACCTTGCTTTATGCGATTGTACTGATTATTACGATATATGGTCGTTATAATGCAATTATACTTCTATGTCAACATCTTGCAAAATATCAATTCAATA